TAATCACCGGCCAAATTTAAATTTGTAAGAATAACAAATTTTTAAATAAGATCCACCCAAATTCTTTTTATTTCCAACCTACCCCTAAAATTATTTATTTCCCAACCCACGAATTGGTAGCTTGAGTTTTGAAGATCTTATAATTTTCATAACCAAAAAAATCAATAAATACAAAATTCTCAACAACTTCCTTTTTTCACTTCCACAAACGGCTATTTTGTGCTAATAACCTATAAGTTTTTAAAAAATATTAGCAGCCAAATTCGGCATTTTACCAAGAAGATAAAGAATTTTGATATATTCGTCAACAAATTTAAATGGAAATATTTAAATAATATCATACCTAGATCAGACACTTGGTAATGATTACAATCAAAAAATAATTAGATTACCTTTTATTTGACGCCCATATTAATATTTAGCCTGGGCCCCGGGTTCATGCCCAGAACTGGCCCTCAGCACCAAACTATGTGGTGAATTTTACGACCAAAATAACTACACAATACCCATCTTTATTTTTCAAAAAATAGTCAAATATAGTATAAAAGTATAATTATTTTTCAACTTTGAGAGAAAATACATAGAGTCGTCACAAGCTACAATCTAAAAGGCGGCTCAACTAAAAAATTATGAGGGGGGGGGGGGCTTCGCCACCTATGCCTTCCACCCAATTTTCCCCTTTGGGCGGGTTTTATATTATTGCTAGTTAATAACCCGTCAAGAATGACGGGGTTGAGGGGTAATTAGTTTCTATATATGTTACTCAATATACTTTATTAATATATTTTATAAAAATTTTAAAATTAAAAATATGTAAATTTGTAAATCGCACTTCATAAGATATTCTTAATTTCTCATTCAACTCTCATCAAATAAGTGAGAAAAATATGATGCACCGTCTTTCTTGAAGGCCAAATTGAAAAATATATAACTAAGAGTACCAGAGCTCCCTATAATCAGCAATGTTGAGTCCGTCAAAAATGACGGGAAATGTAAATTTTTTCCTTACTTTTATGATAGTTGTTACCTGTTATTAAAATAATATCCAGTTTTTATTCTTTATAACCCCCACCCATCTTCAAAAAAAAATTTTTTAAGCTTTCTTTTTTAAAAAAAAATTTAACATTAGAGGTATATAGCCTTCGATTTCGATTTATTTAACATTAAGATGATAGAAAAGTTGATATCAAAAATAAAAATTATTATTAAGATGATAGGAAAGTTGATATCAAAAATAAAAATTAACATTAAGGTTATACGAAAACGTTCATTTCTTGATTACGGTAATTATATATATTAGATATTACTTTTTTAAAATTTGCTAACTCTGAACAATCATCCTGAATTTCATATTTTATCATTTATTATATGATGCATACTAAATAAACTAGTATATAAATAATTGCTGATATAAAAAAATTTTGTGACTAAATTACAAGTGATAAAAATGGTTATTCATACATATGCCTCAATTGATAATGGTTTTTAAAAACCACATAATATAAATTTTAGCAATTTACCTTGGAAAAAGGTCAAGAAACTATAACTCTCTGTTACCATTTTAGACAATGTTTTGTAGAAAGGACTAATGTCGTTAAACGACCTATCTTTAGTCAACTATAAAACAGCATAGCTATGTTTTTATCCAAAAATATTCGAATCAATCTTCAAGTTGAGACTCAACTTGGAGGCTTAATTCAAATTTTTAGGCTAAAGGCTTGACTAAGCCACAATTGAGATTGTCAAAGTTAGTTAATTTAACAACACTAGAAAGGACTAATAAGGAAAAATTTATAGGCCTAACCAAATCAACAATTCTTGAAGAGGAGAATATAAACGACCAATCCATATCATAAAACTATATGGTGGTTAGAGTTTCCTCTTAGATGATATAAAGGAAGCTGATAATTGTGAGATATTAAATTTCTAAAATTTATCTTCCATTTTTAATGATATATAACCGACTACACAGTTTACCATTATTTCTAATCTAAAATAGAAATCATATGCTTTCAGCAGCTGTAGTAATAATCTTAAATTGCCTAGCCTCACAAATAATAGATGCTGGTTAATTTGCAGTCATAGCCATGACACTCATGATTTTAACTCATATCAGAATTTATTATACTAAATAAATTGATAAAACAAAAACACTAAAAATCTTTAGAAGAAATTATTCAAATATATTAAAACCTTGAGTTATTTACACGGCAAGGATGCCATAAAAACATTTTGCAACTATAAAATAAGAACCAGAGTGATTGATGAAAGCAATTAAAATTTTATATATTATTGTCGCACCACTTCTAGTAGGTATACAATATCTTAAAATAATAGTAGTTTGTAATAATATCAAAAATATACTCGTATGAAAAATTAACTCAAAACTGTTTTTTAAAGAAGAAAAAATTTCCTAAAAACACATAAAAAAAGAGAAGAAAAGTTATCTAATTTATTACATCCATTGTGGCATGAATAATAAGATGTTTAATTTTTAATAATATTTTAATTAAATAGATGGCTGGCGTTAATGAATTGAATGCAAATTGCCTTATATTTATCATCAAAATCATTTATTAGTAAAATTTATTAAATATTACTGAGATATATTATAAAACTGTCAATATGTCTGTAAAAGTGGCATTTTACCTAATGTTTTATAAGCAACTATATATAATTTAGGATTATAAACTATATGTTTACTTACTATTTATAAAGAAATCTTTTACACTTATTTGGACCTTGAAAATATTTTTAGGAAGAGGCATGGTATTAAATTTAAAAATGAATAATATAGTTAATTAGTGATTTTGAGCGCTCGGGTAATTACAATATTAAATTTGTTAATTCTCAATTAATAAATAATTATAATTATTTGATATTGATATTCTCTTTTTTACATATTGTGCAAGCTGACATAATGAAATTATTATTTATTTGTATTAATCGAATCTAATAATTAAAATAATATTCATTTGATATAAATTTAGATAGTCTTATTAATTTTTAAATAAAAAAAATTAAATCTATATATTACTTAATTAAATTATAAAAGAAATTGTTAGGGGGCAATCAAAAAATTTTATTTTTAGTTCAAGGGATTATTAAGGAGCCATAAAAAATTTTACTTCAGGGGCTATTCAAATTTTTTAAGGGGTTCGAGCCCCTGCGTCCTCCTCCCTTCTAGTGAGGCTTCAAGCGTCTACATGAACGGGGGTGGGGGGGGGGGGGGGTAGGAACAGTCATCCTATTTTTTTCGAATCTATATATTGCAAACAATCAGAGACATTATTTTCCAACTAAAACTTTCTGCTATCCTTTAAAATGTAATTTAAAAGGTTTCGACATTTTCAGCAAGCTGATAATGCTATAATCATCAATTCATTGTAAATGATGGGGGTTTTAATTAAATTTATTATCTCAAAAATAACTCCTTTATATTCACAAAATATCGAATGTTAATAGTAGAATTAAAATAATTTAAGTTATTTTATTCTTTTTAAATTTTCTGAAAGAATATCATTGTAATTAAAACAGTGAAATTAAAAATATGGAAGCAGCGAAAACTTTTTAGTTTTGGTAGGCATAGGTTTTTGAAGGGGGTTTGCACCCAGTGAAAATTCTGTCATGTAGATGCTAAACGCCACTGATTTTGAGTAGAAAAACAAATGTTTTGTTAATTAATAATAACTAATTTGAAATACTCCTCAAATTCAAAAGAACTATTCGTCCTCTAGTTAACTCCAGTACATAACTTGTATTCACGACTCAAGTTGGAAGTCTAAAGTAAAAAATATAAAAAGCAGAAGAAATGTTTTATTAATTAATAATGACAAATTTAAAATACTCATCCTTAATCAACTCAAGTTAACAAATCGAGTCCAAAAGAACTACTCGTCCTCTAGTCGACTCAAGTATATAACTCGTATTCACAATTCAAGTTGAAAGCCCAAAGTAAAAATAAATGTTTTGTTAATTAATAATAACTAATTTGAAATTTTCGTCCTTCAGTCAACCAAATAAATGATTCTACAATACTAATTAAAAATATTCGTCCTCTAGTCGACTTAATTTTATGACTCAAGTTGAAAACCTATGTTCACGACTCGAGTCGACATTTGTTCACAACTCGAGTCGACTTAAATTAGTCAATCAACGACTATTGATTCTGAGTCACGTGAAATCGACTTTTTAACAATAATAGGGGGGGGGGGTGGGTTATTATATATTCATAAAAAAATCAGACGGACAAAGCTCACAAATTGTTTTGGGACAATCCTTCTAATGGGTTATAAAACTTACTAGAATTATTAATTTTTATTGTAATCAATTTTAATTTTTTCTATCAAATAACTCATTTATCATTTTACACGTTTATCTAATTACCGCCCCCCCCACCTCCATGAAAGTTCTTGTAAATTTACTATGACCTATCAGTAAATTTATCAGATGTAGTGCAGTACTTATGTTCCATTTTAATCGGATTATTAGATTCTCATAGATGAAAATTCGCATTTATAGATACCATTATTTTAAAACTTTTTATTTTGTTTAGATTTGCAATTTATTTAAATCACTTTCTCCTTACCTCTTTTGATGACACTACGACTTTTTGCTGGTATCATATGCCTCTGGCTTTCTACTGAAAAAATAGAAGGTATTGGCTATGCCTGGACATCTGCAGAGAAAATAAATGAAATCATGTGTCACATTTTACCTATTCTGTTATTTTTTAATTTTCTTCCAAATTATTTTAAATATTAAATGGACCCTCACCATTTTAAGTTTTAACTAAAATGTATAAATTTCGATTTTTATGGAGTATACCTTTTATACTTATATCATATGATAAGAATCATATGTTTGTGATAAAAAAATTTCCAAAAATTTCATTCCTAGCATCTACTTATTTATTCAATGATAGTAAAAAATCGAATTTGGAAGCAGCTAAAACAGAAACAGAAAGAATTATATTAAGATTAAAGGAATATTATTTTTTAATTTTAACAAATAAACAATAAACATTATAGGAGGAATATGGAATTCCAGGGCTTGTTATAGGTGTTAATGTTGATGGCAAAAATATCTTTTTGAAGGGATTTGGATATTCAGATGTTGAAAATTTATTGCCAGCTCATGAGAAAACTATCATGCGTATAGCAAGCATCAGTAAACCAGTAACACTCACTATATTAGCTAAGTTAATGGAAAACGATAAAATATCATTAGATGAATCCATCCAAAAATATGTGCCAAATTTCCCAAAGAAATATGTTAACAATGAAAATGTACAATTTTGCATGCGAAAGATTTTCTGAAATTTTTATAGATAAATATCACATTAAGACAAATTGTTTCTCATATAAGTGGCATTAGGCATTATGATAAAGAATGTAAAGAGATTACAAGAAATAATAAAAAAAAGGAAGAGACTAAAGATGTTAAAAATTTACAAGTTAATTGCTTTATATGAATATAAATTGTAAATATTTAAGGTCATACCATTGCAAAATGAATTTGATCAATTTGAATATTATTTAACTCACAATTATAAATCAATAAAAGATGCATTAGAATTATTTAAGAATGATGAATTGTGCACAAAGCCAGGTAGGATGATAATTTATATTGATTATTATAATTTTTATTTTTCATAATTAATAATTTTATGTAAACTCTCATCCATATATTTTTTCACTCCCCAGATTATTTTATTTTAGATCTTATATATGATCCCAGATTAAAAAAATATAGTATTTAATTGCAAATATTAAGTTCAAAAAAAAAATGTATAAATAATTTTTTTTTAGATTAAAAATCATTTTTTTTCAGGGCATCTAGCAGAAATTTGAACCCATGCCACTAGACCTCAAAATAAATTGATTCATTTTTTTGAATATGATTGGAAATATATTTCATAATACAAATAATTTAAAAAAATATTTGATATTATTTTTACTAATATTTTTATAAAATTTCTTCATACATGCAATTATTTGTGATATTAAATTTTCTTGTTCGGGATTTTTTTAAATGTGAAATTTAAAATGTCAATTGTTTTGTTTTATTATTTGTTTAAAATAATTTGATACACACTGAGGTCTATAGTAGAGATCGGCAATGGGTCAGTTTATAGCCCACAATCATGCACCCCATTTTTAATAAAAAAATTACCAATTAGCCAGATGTTGAAAAAAAACACCCACTCTTGAATTTCAGAGTTTGGAATTGGTGTGCATCAATTCAGCCCTCGACCGAATCGAGAAATATGAGAAACGATGGCGTAGCTATAATATTTATCATTCATTCATTTTGTAATTTGAGCGATGCGACGTGGCGCTATTTAAGCTTTACCATAAATAAAGTCTTTAGTGAAGCATCGTATTTAGGTTTGCAAAGGCCAAATATGGAGAAAGGTATTTAATGAAGATGAGGGTATAATCGCGGTGATGGTTTTTAATAGAAATAGAGGCTGGATTTTAAGAAAACGGTGAATTTATACGGTGGTCGTTTTTTATGGAATCTCACCCTTCCCTTTTCAATCTTTAGCCAACTCCAAAACTGTTTAGACAATTTTTTATAAAAAAAACGATTATCTCCATCTTTAAGTTGTAACTCAAACTTAGAGGCTAGGCTAAAAGCTTGGCTAAGCTATATTTGAATTTGCCAAAATTAGAATTAGATGCTTTAACGTCAATAATTATTCACGAGGAAAATAAAATGTAATATCATTATGAAATATTTCATTACCTATTAAAGAATTAGTCAATATATTCTAGAAAAAATATTAAATAAGCATCATGTAAACATCTTTGTATTAGGGAAGTGTCCTGACCTGGAAACCACTCCAGAGTTACGCTACTGAATATTTATAACCCTTTTTTAAAAAAAATTACAAAAATAAATTGTTATCTAACAAAATAAATTATTATAACAAAGGTACAAAATTTTTATATACAACCCATGGTTGGACATTGATTAGCGCAGCCATTGAATATGTAACACAGGAACCATTTCTTAAAACATTAAGAACATTCTTCGAGACACTAGATATGTCATCTACGTTCATTGACGAAAATATTCCTCTTATACCTGATAGATCGAAGTTAATATATATGACTTTTTAAAGATAAATTTCCCATCAACTTGACAGGGGAGAATCTATATTAAGATTAAAATGGTACTCGAGTTCCCTTTCCCCCTTCACTAGATTTGTATATTATATTATATATTCATTTTATATTCCTTTATTTTTTTATCTCTTAATTATTGAACTCGTATCTTTAATAATATTCCTAGCAGGGATGTAAACCCCAACTGAACCAGAACCCCAACCATGTACTTTTTTTTTAAATTTAGGGTACAGGGTAAAAAAATTTTTATTTATTTTATTTATTTTTCTAAATTTTTATTTATTTATTTTAAAAAAATTTAATAAAAAATTTAAACTTAATTAAAAGAAATTTTTTTTTTAAATTCAATTATATTTATTATATTTTCAATTTCAAATATTCAAAACTTTAAAAAAAATATTTATTAAAACTTATATTATAAGAAGAAAAAAAAATTAAAAAAATATATATTAAAAATTATATAAACTAAAATATATAAAAATCAAGGGGGAGGGGGTTGAAAAGATATATTGCCATGCATAGAGCCCAGAATAGAGATAAAATTAGATCTACATATCTCGAGAGATATTCTTTGTCTAAGGTATAAATTTTCTTTAGGATCTCCAGTGATGTTGTTAGTTTCATACCTAAAGTTTTAAAAATAGAATTATACGTTTTTTTTAATTGGGAATATTTGTTACGTTTGGATTATTTGACGGTCAAATATATGTTAAAAAAATACCATGCAAAATTTTTAAATAATAAAAAAAAACAATAAATATTTAAAACAATTGTTTTTTATTATTTTCAATATTATAAATATTTTTTGTGAAAATTATTTTTCGCAAAATCATTTCTTATTTTAGTGCGTCCATTTTATGGATTAAAAAAAATTTCTAGATACCGAACCCTGAACCCGAAGTTGGTTCAGAGATTTTTTACTAAACCCAAACCCGAACCTAAACACTTTTAAAGAAAGAAGGTTCACAACTGGGTTAGAGTGTTTTACATATATAATAAAAATGTAATTAAAATGATTTTAATTTTTTCTTTCGCTAAAATTATTTGGATTATTGGGGGGGGGGGGGGATTCACAATATCATGAGTTCAATTAGATAAGTTATATTATAAGTTTAGAAATATTATCATTTAACAGTTTATTTGTAATTTTCCCAAAGATGTACCGTAGTATCATTTTTTTAAATTTAGGTATTATGTACGAGATAAAGCCAGCCAATACAAACTCAAAAATGCTCAATTCGTTGATAATTCGTACAAATGGGCTGGAGGTGGTATTCTCTCGAATGTTCCCGATTTACTAAAATTCGGTCAAATGATGTTGTACAGTTATCAACGTTGCTCGCCTTACAACAAGGTTGACATTCCAATAAAAGTAAAACTTAGTAATAAACTATCAATCGCATCAAAAAGGGATGGCTAATATAATTTCGAACGAAATCTACAAATCAATAATATTGTAAGAGATTGATTCTGTTGATTTTCTAAAGCTTAACCTTTTTTTAAAAGATCCAATCTTGAACAGAAAATTACTGATCAAATTAAAATAAATATAATTTCCTCTTCTACACAACCCATTTTTTTTTTGAAAATAGCCAACGAATCTCGACAACCTTCAAACATCGCCATTACCTCCACCGGGTTATTTAAAATGCGAAACCGTTAAGCAATTATGGACGCCCGTCGTCAAAACGGGATACAAGTCGCCTCTAAATTCGTATTATGGTATGGGCTGGTTCGTAAATAATGCGCCTGATCAAACTAAGACAGAAATTTTAAATGAGCGGGAGGATGCAGGATACAATGACGATGGGCAGGAACTAGAATTATCTTCAGGGATTCCTCAAGATTCAAAAGAAAATCTAGAGAAAATCAAAAAAGATTCCAGCCAAATTCTAAACGAGTGTTACTCATGCGAGAACAACAAAATCGCTAGTTTCCATCATTCCGGAGGTGCGGTAGGAGCTAGTAGCATATTGGCAGTAATGGTCGATGGTAAGGGAGATAAAGAACCTGGTAAATTTGGTAAAGGGGTCATAGTCGTAATACTAACGAACCTGCAAGAAGTCAGCCTTACCAAAACGGCCATACAGATAGGGAAATTGTATATGTGATCCTTTTTTAAAATATAAAACAAATACTTTTAGGATTTTATTGACAGTTATTTATATATAAAATTAAATCGAAATTATTATTGTTTTAGAATTCATGTAATTATAAATGGATGTTTTTATACGAGTTTTAAAATTATTTTGCGGCAATTTTTTTAAATACACGCATAATTATTTTTACACCTATCAATCATTTATAACTGTTAAATAATTTGTCCACTGTTTAAAAATTTTCCCGGTCCTTCTTTTCTGGCTAGATCTAATTCTAGCAAAATATCAATTTTTTTGATTTAAGGTATACGCTGTTTCGATTATATATTTTTCTTTAAATCAAAGACACAAACTAAATTAATTGATATCAAAATGTTTCTTTATATTTATAATTGTTTCATAAGAATGTACAATGATTCTTTTAATCTTCAATTATTTACATAGAACTAAAATAAATAAAAATATAATATTCGTTTGAATAATAAATTAAGTTAAACTAAGAAATTGGTAAAAAAAATATTATAATAAAAGGTTAAACATTTAAGATATTGGTCAAGGTTAAAAAAAAGGTATCTTATTCAAATAAAGATTAACGATGTTTCTACAACTCAACACTAACGAGTAATAAGCTATATTTATAATAAGCGCGATGGCCACATAATTTACAAAAGTAAAGCCATAGGTATAAATTGCAAATACTGAGCGAAATGAAGAAATTGTGATAGTCGTTTACTTATTATATTTCAAAAAATATTGTAAATGTGACGAATCAGCTGTGATTTCGCGTCGCTTGAGAGAATAGCGTTTACTATAAACGAGGCGTAAAGTTGCCATATTTATAAAATTATTAATCCCAGACCCAAATCTATCTAAGACAAATATGTGCATTTTTTTGAAAAAGGGGTATAGAAATCCCTTTCTATCAAATTCTAATATAACGAGATTATTATTTATATGGCGCTTAGTCACAGTTTTCTTTTTTTCAAACGAAAGCGTCTTTTTTTCCACCCTGGTTAATAGATCATTTTATTTTTGATGGTTCGCAAAAAATAACAATCATTTATTCATTTGAATCTATATTATTACATCATTTTAAATGTCAATGAATTAAATATTCTTTTTTTTACTTATACTGTAAGGCAGTCGTTGCTAACCCCCGTCTTAAGACCACGTACACATACTCCTTATAAATTTTCACTTTCCCTCAAAATTAGAAGAAATTTCCCTCTCCCCTCCTCAATATTTCATTACCTATATTATACAATAAATAGTTAAATTTAGAGCACCCATTGATCTAGAGCTCCATATCAAGACGATGGAAATGATAAATTAATTAATTATAAGCTTTATTTCTCAATTATTTATATCTAATAGAAGCTATGTAATAAAAAAAAACATGCAGCATATCAAATAGGTAAGCACTTGTTATATATAAAAACTATTCGTTCTGTCAGATAAAATTGAGGCTATGATTGAATAAAAAGGAGTCGCTACAAAATATTAGATGAATATGTATAAAGCCAGTCTCCTCTCAAGCTTAGAATTTTGCCTCTAAACTAAAATATCCCTTCTTACCCACCACTTCTCTAGACGTTTAGCGAGTTACAATTATTGTAACATAACATAAAGTTTTGGCCAAATTAAAACGTGTGTGAAAGAGCATCAAACAACAGCCAAACCTCTGCCACTGCGGAGCATATATTTAATTTTCCGATACATCATTAATTTAAATAATTGACATGACCTTGACAAAGAAAAATAACTTCCCCAAAAGATTAATTAGGGCATCGAGATCGCAAAACCCAAGTACAATATGTAATCAGAGAATGGAAATAACACTCAAATGGAGAAGCTTATTATCTCCTTCCTAACATTATTTTTTTAAATATTGTTTATTAACATTTTTAACGTATTTCTTTAATTTAAGAATTTTTTCAATTTCTAAGTTTTTAATATGATTTTATCTTGGTAATAATAAATAATACATGTTACCAACAAGTCGGAATATATTATAAATTATTTATTTAATTTGACCCCGTTAGTGCCGTTTAATAAATTTTCGATATTGATATTATTCACATTTAAAAAAAATATAAAACACCTTATAAATTTACAATTAATAAAAGTGATGGCTTATAATTCAAATCAAAATCTTAATTTTTTATTCTTCTAAGTCAGAATAACTAAATTTAGCCAATTTTAAATTGTAGCCCAATTAATATTATGCAAACCTCGAGATTCCGTTAATAGATGTCCAAACCTTTTCTGCCATGCATAAACAAAACCTCGGCGTGTTTAATATATTTTGGCTAAAATACATGAGCCATTTTTCAAAAGTCAAACCGTTTAACAACATTAAGATTATGTCTAACAACTTAAAAAATTGATATATTACCAACTTCATATAATTTTAGAAATCTATTATACAGTTATAAGAATCGACATTTATTGGAAGTAAGGCCTTTCAAAAAGAAATACCGAATAATAAATTATTCGTATTCCATTCTTTTAAACAAATTATATTCATATAAAAATTACTATTCTTATTTGATTCATAACTACGAATAATATTGACAAAATTTTTATCAGCATTCGTTGTCTAACCTTGATATCTTATTCTTTCTTAAAATATATTATTTATATTTTCAATTTTTTAAAAAAAAAATTTCTTGAATTTTTAGATTTATGGGTTGGCGAGAAGATGACAATAATTTTTATTGAAAAAAATCCTAATATTACTCACTCCCCCATTCTCACCATATTTAAGCAGAGAAAATTTCCTCACATTTGTACATTTTCATTACCAAGAATTCGATATTAAACTATTTATACATTATCTATCACTTTTTTATTTTATTTAAAAATAATAATTATAAATCGTTATGTAAGAAAGATAGAATTCTTACAAATAATTTAATATGCTATAAATAAAATATCAAAATTTAAATAATGTTGAGCCTTTTTTGAGAGGAAATATATTCCTATAAGAATTCAAACCAATTTTTCGATTATGATGGCGGAGGCGGCGCCACCACCATTGCATACCGCTGCAAGGCCTTTTTGTCCCTTTTTCAGTGCGTGAACCAAATGCGTTACGATTCTAGCCCCCGACATTCTAATAATATAATTTATTATAATTTTATTGAAAAAGTGCGGATATATTCCTAGATGTACATATCTTGTATGTACTATATTAAGTATAAACACATGATCTAAATATTTTTCTATTTCATTTTTATATAGGTATTGCAATACAATGCTATTTGGATTAAATTTGATTCACTTCTTAATAAAGGTCTAGTCAATTCAATAGAAACAAAATTTATTTTAAAAAAATTTAATTTGAGCGAGTCTAATAAATATAGTACATAAAAAATTTACCCCAAGGGATGCCCCATACTAACTGCTCCCCCGTTTACGTTAACCTTGTTGATATCTAAATTCAATTTTCTAATATTTCCTAGCGCTACAACGGAAAAGGCTTCGTTTATCTCCCATAGGTCAATATCGCTGATTTTCAATTTAGCCATGTCTAATGCCTTTGTTAATAAAAAAAATATTCGTATACTTATAACAAAATCATGATCAAATTAAATATTGAATTCTAGGTTAGAGCCATCCTTCGAACCTCTTTTTCAGGTCCGGCTCGATTTTATAAAAATATTGTTTGCCGTATATATAGATTAAATGTCAATCAACACAGTGTAATTATCGAGGAGATGTAGATAGTAAAAAAGAGTTGACTATGATTTTATCTATATTATTTTTTTTTTGTATAATATTGTATCATATTTATTTTGATGTAGTTTATTAAATAAAATAATTTCTTCAAGTTCATGCCTCCTCAAAACAATGACTATAACAATTGGTACCGAATAAAAATGTTATTTTGGCAGTACATCTTGATCCGAAAATTTATATTGAAAGAGTTCGATATTTAATTTCGACGAAAGAGTGGGAAAATTATTCTAAGCGTTAAAAAAAAAGGAAATAATAAAAGTGAAAATTCGGTATTTCATAAAAAAATTTTTAATAATTTAAAAACTTTTGTTAAGGTCCGGCCCGGTCAAAATTAAAAATTAAAATCACATCTGGGTTCGCTCAGATTGGCCTGTGGTATGACTCTCCAGTTCAGCCTATTTTAAATTAAGATTTTAAGCCAGAATAATATCATGTGGACCTCGAGATTTCGTTAAAACATGTTCAAATTTTTCTGCCATCAGAAAAATCTTGTGTCAATATTAAGCTGTTTACCAGCACTATTCCCTAATTATTAAACAATTAGTTAGATATTATAATTCTTTGTTTGAATAGATTTTTAATATTGAAAAAATTATCAACAATTTCAATAGCGCTTCTATACTAATATATTTAAAAATTTGGACGTGTCAAAAAGCGATAAAAAATTTGGTTGCAGGAAAGTGACTGGGGATTTTCAAATATTTTATCATCAAACAAGATCTTTAAAAAAAAGACTTTAGGGATCACAATCGAAGGTGCCATCGTGAATTCAACGGGGTTCAGAGCACCGTCAGCGAAGGCTATAATTTTCGCCAGGAACTTGGAGGGATTTTTGGTGTGATCTTGATTAGCGAGCAATAGCATACACGCTCCGTCATTTATCTTACTCGCGTTTGCTGCCGTTATTGTACCTTGATTTTCAATTTCAAAATTGTTATTTTTTAAATTTGAAACGGATGTCTAGATAAGTTTAAATAAATTTTGGTAGACATTTTTTTGTTAAAAATAATATACTTTTATTTTCCAAAAAATCTTTGATGAGTATATGCCGATTTTTACACAAAAAAGTAAAACCTTTAAAAATCAAAAAGAAAATTTTTTTTACAAAAAAATATGGAATTTCGAGCAAAAAATTGATCAAAAATGTTGCATGAGCATTCTCAATTTTCGTATTTTAATTTTTTAATACCAGGGCAGGCACTAAAATTTTTTTTTAAAATACCTGAGTCGGGCCTAAAAATATAAAATCCGTGCTTGGAAAAAAATTATTTTTAAAAATCCGGGGCGGGCCGTACAAATGGTACTTCTGCATATCTCTGATTTCATTTTTTGGATAAAAGATCGTTGGTTTTAAGAGTTTATTGCGAAACCCTGTTTATAAACGAAATAGAAAAACTCTAGTGATAAGATTTATTGGCTTATATTAGCATTTATCAATTGGGGTGCCATAATTAGAATCAAGATAGACCAAGAACCGGATCCGTTAAATATAACTTAATCTCTGCTGGGCCTAAAAATATATACTTTGTTTTATTAAACCCAAAGCAATTAAAAAAAATTTAAGTTACAACAGTTGGAAAATTATATAATAGATGCATTTAGCATCCATTTTGCTGTTTATATTTTTCAATTACCAATTTATAAATAATTTCAAAAATATACAGGTCGGTTCGGCCCGTATTCAAAATTTTAAAAATCTGGACCGAGCCGAGCTTAAAGATCCGACAGGTCGGGAATATAAATAGTAAAAAAATTTAAATCCCCGGTTTGGCCTGCGATCTTGAATTAGACGTAATTAAAATCAAATTTTATAGATATAACTGACGTCACGTGTTGTTAACTGATTTGGATCCATTTTTAAAAATGGCCAGATTTAAATTTTAGCCAGAATAATAGTATGTAAGCCCCGAGATTTGGGAAATAGATATGAACAAAATCTCCAGGCTTTCATAATATTATTTTAGCTAAAATCGTAATCTGGCCGTTTTTAAAATCGCTATTAAATAAGAAACAAGATATATTTACGATATCTTTTAATTTTAAACCTTGCTTTTCGAACGCCGGCGACAAATTAGGAAACTTTTGAAAATCTCCGCGTTTTGGTTCTTCATCCTCGATAAGTGTTATATCAGGCTTTCCTTTCTTTTGCGGGACATTAACGGGTACGATTTCATCTTTAAATACACCTTTCTATATAATTATTTTAGGTGATTAAAGATTATTACTATTATTATTATTGTTTAAAATTTACTTTCGTTGCCTCGAGCGCTCTTTTATAACTCATAACGGCGAATTCATCCTGATCTTTTCGGGTTATATTCATTTTTTTGGCTAGCATTTCGCCGCATACGCCCTAATTTACGCGAAAAATAATAAAATAAATTGATGTAAATTATTTATATCCAGTATTGTTAAATAGTGGAGTTCTTACGACTCGGAACTCGAGTTTTAGTCGTAAAAAACGGCTCCTACTCAAGAAGATCAAGGAGATGACTTAGTCGGCTTAATCGGCTCGCTTAGTTGGCTCACTTCTCGCTTGGTGTCGGCTCAGTTTTTTAAATTAATTTATAAATAAATTATAATTTTTGATATTTTATTTTTTACATATATTTTATAAAACGGCTCCATTTGAGTCGATTTTTATAAACGGCTTACTCAAATGTCTAGTAAATTGCTAAATTATGGGTTACTGATTAATGTGAGATCTCCATAAGAAATATCTATGTCGATAAAAAGGGTTTTGGACCCGAAATGGGGTTCAGTTTTAAACTCTATTTGGTGAAAATTTTGATAACGTGAACTTAATCGAAAACCGATTTTCTAAAAGAAGTTGTAACCCAACCCAATTCATATTACCCTTCCCCCACGTCCATATAGAATAGCTGCTTGAACATGTTGAGCATCTTACTCTATAAGATGCTACATTTTTCTCCATTTTCATACTATTACAGTAAAAGGAGTGTTAATAATAAACTTACAATAAAAGGGGGTAAACAAAATATGATTTTATTTTAATTTAATACTTATTGAAATTAAATATGGACAAGCAATTAATTAAGATTATTCGTCATGTTTAAATATAAAAAGAAATGTGTTGGAAATTTAATTTAAAATAAAAAAAATGTGTCAGTAAAATATTTATAATTTTTTAATTTTTCTTATATAATAAAAATTATAATATAAAATTTTTCAATAGTAATACTAATTTTTCCAATTTAAATGAAAACTCTCAATCTTCCTCGAGAATTCAAAGACCAAAAAGAATACACAAATATTGGAATAAAGAAATAATGATAGTTACTAAAATGTTATCAATGCCTGAAAAACAACAAATGAAAATCAAAGACATCGCAAAATACGTCGAATTTTCTACGGCATCGGTTCATTATTTTAGACGCGACACATTCCCAGATATAAATGGAGATCCTCTAAAAGAATAAAATATTCAAAAAAGAAGAATTAAGAAAAAAAGATTCTTCCATAATTGAAAGATACATCATAAGTTTATTAATGGAAAATAACATTCTTACTATCCAGAAGATAATAAAAAATTTGCCTCCACACACAAAAACAACCATTCGTAAAATATCAAAAATATAGGTTGGTCTAAAAAAAAAGGCTGGCGAGCCTGATAGAAGAAATACTCCATTCATCAAATCGATTGTGTAAAAATCTTAAATGTCTTCAGAGAAAAATTATATTTCTTAAATGAAACTGGAATAAACTTGCATGTTGTACCAATCAATGCCTGAGCGCCATACAATGTCCGTTTAATAATGAAAATGTCATCCTCTAAGGGTAAAAATGTAAGCATTGGAGGAGTAATCCATTATAAAATAATCGAAAGAGCTTATAATGGGTTATTAATGCGTGATTTCATGATAAAGCTTATCAGTGTCTTACAGATGCATTTATTGTAATATCTATCCATAAAAGCCATCTTATCGATACTTATAAATGTAGGATTGAATACCTACCAACATATTCACCTTAACTAAATACCATCAAAATTTTTTTTGGAGACTTGAAAAATAAATATTGAGCAATCAATCCCCGCCCAAATTCAAGAGATGAAATGGTTGGGAATATTATTCAGTTCTTACATGGATTTATTCCTTATGATTTTACTAACTTTTACAATCATATGCAAAGCTATTTGGAGTTGGGTTATCGCGGACAAATGATTAATTAAGTAATCCTTATAATTGATTTGTACTAATAATTATAATATAATTAACTCTTTTAATTTCTAAAAAGGTACCATCATCAAATCGTGGAACAATGGATATTTTGATAAATTATATTTTTTATATATTAATTATCTTATCGAAATTTTATAAAAGTTTATAGTATTATCATATTTTTATCGAAATTAAATGGATAAAATTACAAAATAAATTACATTTAAGAAATTCTAAAATATTTTCAAATATTTAAAAGACTTTTTACAAAAAATGATTTAGAATTTTAGATGAAATTTAATAAAAAATCTAGCATTCTCAAAGATCAAAATTTTTTTTTATTTTTCATCACAAATTATATATTTACAACATAATTTATTTTTATTATATAAATATGACGATCAATCTAAATTAATTGCTTGTCCATATTTAATTTCAATATGTAATAAATTAAAATAAAATGTTATTTTGTTTACTCGTTTCACTGTATAAGAACAGGTGTAATTAATAAAAAGCTCATTATCTTTTAAAAAAGCTACAGTTCTTGTATATGAAATTATGATTTCGGTAAAATTTATGTAATCCATAAAAAGGAGAAAATATTTCTTATTTAAAGAATTGTGTTCACAAAATTTTTCAATTCTTTAACTTGAGTAATGAAACTTTGATAGCAAAATAAATTAAAAATATTTAAAATAAAAATATAAGAATATTAAAAATTTATCCTAATTTCAGTGACTTACCAGTTTTAATATTATAATATACAAATGAAATATGCAAAAATATTATTATTTCCAAGATATAAAATAATAATATAATTTTTTAGATTATTTTCTTTATTTGTTATAATAAAATAACGATGATATAAATGATCATAAAGAATATAATTAAAATGCCAAAATAAGGGATTTAGAAAGAAAATGTCTAAAAAAGTAAATAGTATAAAAAATAAAATATGAGATATGACATATACAAAAGGGATAAGGTTAAGATAATTTTATTTTTTAATGATAATCGTACCTCCACAGGTCTGATATATATATTAAAAAGTTATATTTATGAATTCTTATATATAATCTTACAACATTTTATTTTTATATATAAAATCGCCTCGGAAGCTGACTAATGTGACTAATTTAGTCGACACGAGTTGTATTTTTGACTAGAAACTCGGCTCTAGTGGTAAAGTCGACTCGGCATAGCCTTTTAAGAACACTATTTATATCATTATCCCAGCGGCGCCATCTTAGTTTACCGCAACATTATTAAGCTTGATTTAACTATTGATCAAAATTATTTATGAAATAATATATGATAGATTATAACCATATGAATATTATTGTAAGCATCTGTTAAACCGTCGACCACAATGCCATCTTGTATCTTACATCCACCATAAGGTATTTCACCTCTCGCTATATAAAAAGGAACTTTGGACATATTTTCCATCCCTCCAGCGATCATCACATTCTAAATAATAAATTAGTTATTTTTTGAGAGGTTTGTTAATTTATTTTTTATACCCCCCCCCCCTAACCATGTCCAACAGCATGTTTACTTTTTTGTAAGCAAACATGTAATTATGACACAAATATCCCGCGTTTTTTAGTTGGACAGTTATATCTTAATATATTAAATCAAATTTGTACATAGCCTTTAATAAATAAAAATAAGATCACAAAAAAACTGTCTCTATGACTGTTATAAATAATTCGAACTTCTAGCTCCAAGCCAATGATGCTGGGCTCACTCTCAAATAATAATTATAGGTTGGCTAATTGGGTTCAATGAAGCAAGGATATTGTTCCCCCTTCATACCACTGGGAGAAGAGTCAAATTTTTAATAAAAAATGCTACTAATTAAATTTTGAATAAAATTTAAACAGAAAATCTTAGGTTTGTTATTAAAACTTTATAAAATCCTTTATTAAAATAATATTTTGCATTTTCTAATCAAATAAATATGAATACATTATTATTCTAATTTGAAACAACAACATATGATTCAAATATTTATTTAGAAGTCTTTTAAACAAACTTAGGCCCTTAACGGTATTTCATATGATGCTATGTATGCTACTAATTATTAATATTTATTAAAATATTTCAAAATTATTCAATCTATTTTTTTTTTAAATATTATAAAATGTTACATAAAAAATTATAAACTTGTATAAAAAATGTTTTCAAAAATTATTCTTTATTTTTTTCATTTCTGAACAAATTTAAAAATTTTAGGTGAGATGGTTTAAAGTACTATAATAATTTAGAGATGAACATAACTTAAAATTTCTAATTTTTCTTGCCTATCACAGCCTTTTAAAATTTATTTGAAAATTGGCTGGCCCATAAAAAATTTCTTGTCTTGCATGGAACATTAGTATTTAATTATTCACATTGTACTATAAAAGTTGATGATTTTTATATTAAAAAATACTACACATTAGTTGATATTTATATAAAATTTTCTTAAAGAGCTAATTATATATTACTCTATATCCAAGAATAATACTTTGAGCAGCTAACATAATGGCTTTCATTCCAGATGCACAGACTTTATTTATTGTAGTACAATCAACTGATTCATTTATACCTAATAGCGAAAAAAAAATATAAACTATAAATAAATACTATACCAGCTCCAATAGATGCCTGTCTGGCTGGTGATTGTCCTAATCCAGCTTGACATACATTACCAATGAATACTTCTTCGACTAGATCCTTTAAATTTTCTATAAGATTTTATATATCTTTTAAAACTAATAAAACCATGCTAATACCATTTCGTTTTAGCAAAGATTTAATTGTTAAAGATCCCAAGTTTGGTGCTGAAATTGAGCTTAAGCCACCTTTAAAAATACCAATAGGTGTCCTGATAGCATCAATAATATAAACTTCCTATTTTAAATTAATATTTTAAAGGTATAAAAAAAAACCTTTTGGCTATGTTTTGAAAAATTTCTTATAAATGTTAAAAACATCTGATAACCGAACTTTTAATTTCACCAAAGTGCTAAACGTTATAGAAATGACAAATATTAAAAAATGTGGAAGAATAAAATGCCATACATATATATTTATTATCATGAATATAAAGAGTTTGTATTTATCTCAGACTCAAATAAAAAAATTGAATGATATATTTATGTTATATTATTTATAAATTTTTTTAATTCTATTGTGATATTTTGAATGCCTATTTCTTTTATGTGCTATATTAGGGGTATCCAGTAGCGTCACAGGGTGGGGGGGGGGCTTGAGCCCATAAAAAATTTGGAGATCCTCCATTAAATTTAAAAATTTTTTAAAGGTAATTTAGGATAGCTAAAAAAATGAAATAATTTTAGATAATGCTAGCCAAAAAAAAAATTATTCGGAAAATAATTTAAAAAATTTGAGCCCTCTGAAATTGCGAAGGCTAGTGACACCCTTACGATTGGAGAAAGAATAGGTTACAGTACTTAGGTTACAGGTAACAAAAGAATTAGAACAGAACCTGAGTTTAATCATTTATTTTTTTTGCTCCCTTTTGGTTTTACAGTGTAGACCGATAAAATGTTTTATTTTATTTCTTCAAAACTAAAATAAAAGAAGTTTTTGGTTGCATATTTCTTTGTACTTTCATGTTGGAGAGTAACGTTCGGTTTCTCACCGGCTAGCCAGTTACAATTAGTTACCTTCAATCTTGGGGTCTAACTAACCGTAAAAAACTAGACCCTGCTATTAATTAATCTATCATAACTCCCTGCCAATGCTCGCTGGTTTTTCGTTAGCCGAATTCGACGTTTCCAAGTTGGACTCCCTAGGGGTGAGCGAGTTATCCACCAATCCATCCCTGTTGTAACTTTTCTGTCACCTCCCGCTTTAAACTACAAATGTCGAAAGGATCGATAGACCATATATTCACGGTTCGTATTTGTACTGAAAATTAAATCAATTTGCCTTTTGCTCAATACGAGGTTTCTGTTCTCACTGAGCTTGCCTTAGGGCACCTAAGTTACTTTTGACAGATATACCGCTTCAGTCAAACTCCCCACCTGACACTGTCTTCTGATCGAATCGGCCGAAAGGAAGGTGTCGTGAAGACCGGGCTCGAAAGAGGTAAAGTAATAGCGTCATTAAGGCCAAACCTATATTACTCCCATATGATTTTTCGCGCAATCACATAAGTAAAAAAACGATGAAGGGGTATTTCAATGGCAGTTGTCAATGTGTCTTCACAGAGTCGGATTAGAGTCAAGCTCAACAGGGTCTTCTATCCCCGATAATTCTGCCAAGCCGTTCCCTTGGCTGTGGCTTCGCTAGATAGTAGATAGGGACAGTAAGAATCTCTTTGATCTATTCATGCGCGTCACTAATTAAATGACGATGCATTTGGCTACCATAGGAGTCATAGTTACTCCCGCCGTTTATCCGTGCTTGATTGAATTTCTACACTTTGATATTCAGACTGGGTAGAAATAACATTGCGTCAATACCGTCCAACAGCCATCTCAATGCTTTGTTTTAATTAATTCGGATTGGGTCCCTCCGTACCTCTAATCTGGCTGTTAATCGCCGAAAGAAGCATATCTTTCCCGCTCTTAGAAAAGGGCCGGAGCGCGTTAGCTCAAGCAATAGAGGAGAAGGATTGCTGTTCTAATTTGAACTATAGATCAAACTCAGCCCCGGTACGATGCTGGACTCGTTTCTCGCCACAGCCCGACCGGCCTTTAGAGCCAATCCTTCTTCCGAAGTTAGGATCTAGTTTGTCGACTTCCCTTACCTACATTATTCGATCGACTAAAGGTTGTTCACCTCGGTGCTGTAGACATGGGCACGATCTGGTATAAAAATTATGATCCCTCCTCGAATTTTCACGGGTCATTGACGACGCTTCGGACACTGCAACAGCCGCGGTGCTTTACGGACGTATCAATCCCGGCTAAGCCGAATTTAGGGAGTTTTATCCTTACAAAGAAAACAAAACTCTTCTCGGGGTCGTCGAAAACGTCATCGAGTCTGTTTGCGTTGCCGCACCTAACTCGCTTTTGACGGTTGAAACGAAGTTTACTTTCTTAATCAGGTTCGGGGTTATTAATCCGATTCTCTTTCGCCAGAGGCGATGGCCGAACGTCAGACCGCTTCACAACAAATTTCTGGATTGACTGACCCATGTGCAACGGTAAGCAGAAAATAATTGCCCGAAAAAATAATCCCCAATAATAATTCTTAGAAAATAATTCCCCGAAATTGATTTTCTCAAAATTTTAAATATTTTATTTGAGGATTTTTATTTCGTGGATATATTTATAGGGAATTATTTCTCCTATTTTATTAATTTTGTAATTTTTAATCTTTCTAGATTCATGTGAAACTATTGTCACATGAGACCCTTCTCCACTTCAGTCTTCAAGTTCTCACTTAAAAATTTACTACTACCACCAAGATCTACGTCGGGGACGGCTGCAGATAGGACTGCGCCGAATCCTTCTGCGCTCATCCCCTTGACTCTTCTACTCGTTCGAAATTGATTTGGACAAATTGTTCCAAACGGCTGGGTATGGACTTAACGCTATAGCACCCTCCATTTTCAGGGCTGATTCGGCAGAGGATTTCAGCATTTAAAACTTCAACTCTCGAATATTGATATCATTTTAAGAAAACTAGTTATCTTCCCACTAAAGTGAGAGGCTCCATCATATGAACTCTTGGTTCCCGTTCTAAATCGCTGAAGTAATAATCGCTAAAAATTAAAATACCACTAAAAAAATAAAAATTAAAGACAACAAATAGTTATATAAAATACTTAATACAAATATAAATCTAAGGGTGAGAATATAATATATTTTAATATATATAATTCATAATAATATTATTAAACATGTGTTTTACAAATTTAATAATTGTTTTAAATAGCATTAAAAAATTTTATCAATAGTTAAAATACTTAATACAAATATATATCTTAAGGGAGAAATTATAATAAATTTTAGTGTATAATTACAAATTATATTATTAACAAAGCGTTTTACAAAAATATTTTAAATGGCAATAAAAGATTTTATCAATAGTTATATTCAATACTTAATAACAAATATATATTTTAAGGGGGATATTATAATAAATTTTAATATATATATATAATATTATTAAGTATGCGTTTTATAAATTTTTAATTATTTTAAAAAGCATTAAAAAATTTTATCAATAGATAAAATACTTAATACAAATATATATCTTAAGGGAGAAATTTTAATAAATTTTAGTATATAATTATAAATTATATTATTAACAAGGCGTTTTACAAAAATATTTTAAATGGCAATAAAAGATTTTATCAATAGTTATATTCAATACTTAATAACAAATATATATTTTAAGGGGGATATTATAATAAATTTTAATATATATATAAAATATTATTAAGTATGCGTTTTATAAATTTTTAATTATTTTAAAAAGCATTAAAAAATTTTATCAATAGTTAGAATACTTAATACAAATATATATCTTAAGGGAGAAATTTTAATAAATTTTAGTATATAATTACAAATTATATTATTAACAAGGCGTTTTACAAAAATATTTTAAATGGCAATAAAAGATTTTATCAATAGTTATATTCAATACTTAATAACAAATATATATTTTAAGGGGGATATTATAATAAATTTTAATATATATATATAATATTATTAAGTATGCGTTTTATAAATTTTTAATTATTTTAAAAAGCATTAAAAAATTTTATCAATAGATAAAATACTTAATACAAATATATATCTTAAGGGAGAAATTTTAATAAATTTTAGTATATAATTATAAATTATATTATTAACAAGGCGTTTTACAAAAATATTTTAAATGGCAATAAAAGATTTTATCAATAGTTATATTCAATACTTAATAACAAATATATATTTTAAGGGGGATATTATAATAAATTTTAATATATATATATAATATTATTAAGTATGCGTTTTATAAATTTTTAATTATTTTAAAAAGCATTAAAAAATTTTATCAATAGATAAAATACTTAATATAAATATATATCTTAAGGGAGAAATTTTAATAAATTTTAGTATATAATTATAAATTATATTATTAACAAGGCGTTTTACAAAAATATTTTAAATGGCAATAAAAGATTTTATCAATAGTTATATTCAATACTTAATAACAAATATATATTTTAAGGGGGATATTATAATAAATTTTAATATATATATATAATATTATTAAGTATGCGTTTTATAAATTTTTAATTATTTTAAAAAGCATTAAAAAAATTTATCAATAGATAAAATACTTAATACAAATATATATCTTAAGGGAGAAATTTTAATAAATTTTAGTATATAATTATAAATTATATTATTAACAAGGCGTTTTACAAAAATATTTTAAATGGCAATAAAAGATTTTATCAATAGTTATATTCAATACTTAAAAACAAATATATATTTTAAGGGGGATATTATAATAAATTTTAATATATATATATAATATTATTAAGTATGCGTTTTATAAATTTTTAATTATTTTAAAAAGCATTAAAAAATTTTATCAATAGTTAAAATACTTAATACAAATATATATCTTAAGGGAGAAATTATAATAAATTTTAGTATATAATTACAAATTATATTATTAACAAGGCGTTTTACAAAAATATTTTAAATGGCAATAAAAGATTTTATCAATAGTTATATTCAATACTTAGTAACAAATATATATTTTAAGGGGGATATTATAATAAATTTTAATATATATATATAATATTATTAAGTATGCGTTTTATAAATTTTTAATTATTTTAAAAAGCATTAAAAAATTTTATCAATAGATAAAATACTTAATACAAATATATATCTTAAGGGAGAAATTCAATTAAAACTCCCATTATTTACAATGAATTAATTATTATGGCATTATGAGCTTGCTGAAATATCTAAACCTTAAATTACATTTAAAAGGATAGTTTATTTGGAAAACAATGTGTATGATTGTTTGCAATATATAGATTTGATCGATGAATTGTATTATAATAATTCCATAATAAAAGTATTAATTTTTACAGCAATAAATTTTGTCTTATTTCATCTCAAGATTTAATAGATAACCCCAAAATATTTTTATCCTACCCCCATTAAGGCAGCCTACCACCCACCCCTTCAAAAAATAGGATGCAAACTGTTCCTACCTCTCCCGCTCATGTAGACGCTGTATATAGATTTATGATAGATATCTACATCCAGTGAAAATCTTGTCACGTAAACAAAAAAAAAATAAAGTATCATTTCAAACACCAAGTATATTGGTCTTTTTTATCAATTTTATATTAAATTTTTTATTAACAATATATCTACAACTATTTTAAATTTAATAATATATATTTAATATGATTTTATTAAATCAGACACTTTATCAATAAAAAAAATAAATTAGAAGTAATATCATATAATGCTGTTAAGTTTACAATTTTTTTATTAATTATCACAGATTTTTTATTTTTCTCCGTAACTATTTCCCCGTTATTGATTTGTATAACTTTAAGTTCTGTCAGGCGTTGGTTATCTTTTAAAACGCGAATTAATGAATATATGTCAGGATGAGCATTTTTTTGCCATTCGCTTGAGGGAATGGTGATATCCTCCAAGATGATTATTACTGCGAGGACCTTGAATCTTATACCTAACACCAAACAATGTATTAAATGTTAAAAATATTATAAACTTTTATATAAATTGTGAGGAATTAATAAAAATGAAATAATTACCTGGTCCAAATTTGATGAGGAAAGATTGCATCAGAATTTATCCAGGTAGTATCCATATATATTAAGAAACTAAATATTAACGGGTCATTGGCTGCTAGATCTACACAAGAATCACGGACCACTTGAATGTCCTCTCTCTTGCATAAAGGTAATACACTCATCCTTCGAACAATAGTGTATACAGCAGTCTCTTCTTTATACTGCTTGACTAAACCTAAATGCTGAACTTTACGCCAAATGGCCTGCGTAAAGTGGAAGAAGCAGCCTAAAAATAAATTATACAACTATATATAATTTAAACTTTACCCTTTACTAAAATATTGGGAAATACAAATTGTAGAGCAGATATCGCTCCTGCTTCATAGTCGGTTTGTGCCATTTCTGGTGAAAACTGGATACCATTCAATGTCCCATATTCCACGATTATTTGAAATAGCTCAATATAGGACTCCTTCCTTTTATCTGGAAGAAGTGCATATATGATAGGGATCATCGTTTGATTATACATGATATGTATAGTATATAATTGGCTAAAAAAACGTGGACATGTGTAAAAAGTCCCATCCATATAAATGAATTTTGTATAAGAAGATAAACTGACTAACATGACAGACCCAAATACAATAAGTTTGTTATTATTGTTTTTAATTAAGAAGTTATCACCACTGAATGTTGTTATCAATTCAGTGGTCAATACAATTGTGTCATTGCTAATGGGAATATTTGGCCTGGTTTGTTTTAAAACACGGTTAATCGTATTTTTAACGGAAATAAAAGGTGGTAAGGCTCCTGGATAATTGATTATATCTGGATCTTCAGAGCATTGTTAGTTTAATGCCTTTAGATAGATATTCATCCTTGTATCTAAAGGATTTTGTTGTACCGTTGCTTTTACTGTTTGCAAAGTTTTTAATTTGTGAAAAAGTATAGCATGATTTTGATGTTCGTGCATTTTGGATATTGTGTATCCCTGAATATATTTACACGTCACTTTACAATCAGCTTTTAAGCAACGATAGTAAATTGTATTCCTGTATGTACCGTTATAACGGTAAAGAAAATTTTGAAAAAAGAGCAATGATTTGCCCTTTTGGCTATCGATAAATGTCGGTTCCTCTAAATATAAGAAATTTTTTAGAAGTTTATATAGAAATTTACCAAAAATATGAATATTTTCATTAAAATCTATTAGAGATTCTGCAAATCCATAATTATCCATATTTTCTAAAAAATAATTGCCTATATATATAGTGATATATATATTTTCATTAAGAATTATTACTTTCTATTTCTGAATTAAGAGGAGATGTATAGAAATCATTTGATATGTTAAGAGCATCTATATTTTATAGATTAAATTGATTTGTTATAAAAATGTTACTTTGAAAATCAGGAATATATGGGGAGATATATGAGCAAAGAGGGGATGTGTAAGCTGAATGACTTTGAGTATAACCTATTTTAAAATTTGTGCTTAGATAATGGTATTATAAAATGTTGTACCTAAAATGAGAATATTTATTTAAGATTGTTTATAATAATTAACCTTGATTAGGAAGGTTCAGTGATTGCCCTTGGGAAGTACTTGCTATTGGAATATCACCTATTTTAAAATTTATGCTTAGATAATGGTATTATAATATGTTGTACCTAAAATGAGAATATTTATTTAAGATTGTTTATAATATTTAACCTTGATTAGGAAGGTTCAGTGATTGTCCTTGGGAAGTACTTGCTATTGGAATATCACCTATTGGAATATCACCTATTTTAAAATTTGTGCTTAGATAATGGTATTATAATATGTTTGTTAAAATGAGAATATTTATTTAAGATTGTTTATAATAATTAACCTTGATTAGGAAGGTTCAGTGATTGCCCTTGGGAAGTACTTGCTATTGGAATATCACCTATTTTAAAATTTGTGCTTAGATAATGGTATTATAATATGTTGTACCTAAAATGAGAATATTTATTTAAGATTGTTTATAATATTTAACCTTGATTAGGAAGGTTCAGTGATTGTCCTTGGGAAGTACTTGCTATTGGAATATCACCTATTTTAAAATTTGTGCTTAGATAATGGTATTATAATATGTTACCTAAAATGACAATATTTATTTAAGATTATTTATAATATTTAACCTTGATTAGGAAGGTTCAGTGATTGCCCTTGGGAAGTACTTGCTATTGGAATATCACCTATTTTAAAATTTGTGCTTAGATAATGGTATTATAATATGTTGTACCTAAAATGACAATATTTATTTAAAATTGTTTATAATATTTAACCTTGATTAGGAAGGTTCAGTGATTGCCCTTGGGAAGTACTTGCTATTGGAATATCACCTATTTTAAAATTTGTGCTTAGATAATGGTATTATAATATGTTGTACCTAAAATGACAATATTTATTTAAAATTGTTTATAATATTTAACCTTGATTAGGAAGGTTCAGTGATTGCCCTTGGGAAGTACTTGCTATTAGAATATCACCTATTTAATATTGAGTTTTTTGTTTAAAAATTATGAGAAAATATTTATACCTTTAAAATTTGAATTGAGTAGATAATATTAGAAGATAAAGGTAAAACATCTAAAAATATAATAATATATATTTGTAATTAAATTTAAATACTTTGGATTGGTTTACAGGTCTCTGCATGACTTTTAGTTATACTAAAGTCACAATTTATGGTGAGTTTTGCTCTGCCGCCGCATTTTTTGTTGCGGCAATAGTAATATATGGCACTTTTACCAGATTTCTGTAGTAAATATTGATATCCCAAATATTCTATGTAATTTTTATTTTTGTTAAAATTAAAATTAATTCTTAAAATATTCAATCTAATGTTGCAATTAATCTTTAAGTATTTGGCAAAATATAATCAAAAAAATAAATATTATAATTAATTTTTCTAAAGAACCTAGGTTAAATAAAACGGTGAATATTTTAAGCAATTGGAGAATTCAGGGTAATCGATGCCCAAAATTATATAAATGGTTTGATATCATACTGGCAGTGCCAGCTACCCAAGGTAGTGTGGAAAGATGTTTTTCAACAATTAAATTTATACTATCTCTTAATGGATGTAATTTGAGTGAGACGAATCTTTAATTAATTGTGCGGCCTAATAAAAATTTTTTAAGTAAATAAAGTTTAATATTGTTCATATTAAAATTAATCATTGATATTTATTTGTATTATTTATAATTTAAATATTATTTTATAATCTGCAATTAATAAAAATGAAGATTTTTATGTATAAGTTTTTTATTTTAATGATTGAAATAATACAAAATTGTTCAAACCGAACCGAAGTATTTATTTTTTACGAACCGAACCCTAAGTTATTTTTATCCGAACCTGAACCGATATTTGTTTAGGTTTGGATCCCTGGTAATAAATATAACTGCAGTATATTGTTAAATTGAATATCTAATTATTATAATAATATATTACAATAGTCAGTAATTTAGGTAAAGGGGCATTTTCTTTATACTGTCCACCAAACTAAATTAATATACAATTAAGCAAAACATTGTTAAAATTTGCAGAATAAATGCTTTCACTCGCTTTTTTATATTAAGATTTACCAAAATCTTGTCATTAATAATTTTTTCCTTTATAATGGGGTTAAAGTCAGACACTAAATATGCATAAAAGATTGCCATATTTTAGAACTATTTCTTCTAATTGTTCAGTCAACTTAAATAGAAAAGAAAAAATCTTGATTAAGCAACTGACAATTGTACATAATAACAAGATGCTAGGTTTGACCTGAGATGATGCCCATGGCCACGGAAAATGGAGAAGGGCGATTAGAAGGCAAAATGGTCTCTTCGGGTAAACCTGGTAAAGGACCACTAAACAATGAAAATCTTTCCAAAGTTTTTTGATTTTTTGTAGTATACAATTAAATAATGGTTATACCTATGATCGAAATTTTTCACATTAATAAAGAATGTAAACCTAATTATTAAAAAAATAAATAATAAAAGTGTCCATACATAGAAACAAGCTGTAGTGCCATTTTGTGGTTTTCATCTCGATATTGAATTTATTTTTATTATATGAAAGCATATTAATGTCATTTAATCGATGTACAAGCCATAAAATGGTGCTACAGCTGACTCCAATGTATGGACACCTTTAAATGTATTTAATAAATGGTCAATCAAGTAGTATAGTATATATATTAGCGTCAATGTGTTATTTTCGGCAATGTACACATTGCCTGATTTTTTTAGGCAATGTGTTACGGTGGTAGGCAGGGTGCAGGGAGAATTAGATGTACACATTGCCTAAATAACCAGGCAAAGTGTACATTGCCTGGTTTTTTTAGGCAATGTATTATTTTTGTAATAATATATTATTAATAATATTTTATTTATTTTCTCAAATTATTAATATAAGTTACAAAATTATAATACAAATATTATTATTATTATTATTTTATAATAATACTACAAGACATTAGTAAATATATTTTTTAAAGAAATATAGTACATGTTATATTGTGGAAATAATTTAAATAAAATCACTTGAGGTGATAATGAAATATTTTATGTAAAAGTAAAATCGATTTAAATGTAAAAGTAAAGATCAATTTAAAGGTAAAAAGTTAAAAATGATTTATAACGATAAATTATATTTGAAAGACATATCTGTAGGATATTGATATATTATACTTTTTTTGTATATATTGTTATGTTTTTTTGTTATATGATAGTTTTTGAAATTTATATGTTATAATAAAAAAAGATAAATTAAATATTTGTGGTCAACTTTAAATTATAAAATCTCATCCTTATCACATATCCGAGAAATCGTAGAATTCTTATATGGTGGCAACGTATTCCGACGTTTACAATTCTTATAATAGTCTCAGTTTATAGTTACAATATGACAGAGCGATTTCGATACATTATGATTATAAGATGTCCATCACGCTTTGAAATCAGGCAACATCTCAATACTTCGACGCACAAATCCATTCCGTTTATACACGAAACAAGATTGGTTCATTTCTTCTATTACGATAATGCAGATGACATGCAAACTGCGTTTTCGGCCATACAAGGACAGGAGTTCACTGACTCCTATGGGAATAGTTTCTTTATTAATGCTCAATGCTATCGAAGAGATTGAATCATTTGACCAACGCCACCAGATAAATTTATTAGCTTGTATTATTCAATTTTACATGCGTATATAAATATATTTTTTTTTCCGTGTGATATATGATATAAATAAGTTGTGAAATAAACGATCATTATAAATAATATATATTATGAAACCGTTAGTAAATACAAAAAATAATATAGTTGACGTACCGGCGTTTACGGGGAACGTTGAGTTTTTTTAAAAAAGATTCGATTCCGTATTAAAAGATAGCCTATGGACGGAAGCGGAAAAAGCGAGTATTTTCACAAACAGATTACCAGAAGACGAGTACTTAAATCTAGAGGCAATCTGTACATCGTCCGAGTTCTCTAATCTTACAAATTTAATCGAGAAGTTTAAACTTCTACACCCTAAAAAATCTATGGACAGTTACAATGTTGATTTTGCGGCAGCGGTGCAAAATCCAGGTGAAAAATTTCAGGTCTGCGTAACTCGAGTATGTGGTTTAAATACTAAATGTAAGTATGAAGACTTTGAGAGAGCGATAGAAAAAATAAGGCTTTCATCGATAAGTAAGAAAATCAGGCAGAGAATTTCTAAAATGGAAAATGTAAATATAGATATGATACTAAAGGCAGCAGCAGATATAGAAGAGAAAGAAGCGTGTGACAATATTTTAAATAAAATTGATAATATAAAAATTGAAGCAGGAACCACGGTGAAAGCGATAGATGAGGTTGAAATACGATGGTAACAATAGATTGGCATGTACTTCAAATGATAATGGGTTTAGACAGCAGTGGACACCTAGATGCGATAATTGGCAGAGGTTTCAAGGAAACAATTATGATTCACGTTATCGTAACAATTTCAATCCGCGGTATCAAAATAACTTTAATCATAGATATCAATATAATGACAGAGCGCCAAGATCGAGATTCAATAATGATAATTATAACGATAGGCGTAATTATGACAGATACAATGATAGAAATAATAATGATTCAAGATACAGACCAAGATATAATCAGAATTACGATCAAAGTTATAATCGTAACTACAAACAGAATTGCAACCAAAACTACAATCAATCGTATAATAATAACAGATACCGAAATAATGACAATAACCAACGGCGATACTCAAATAAAGTAAATACGGTCAATATAGAAGAAATAAAGGAAATAAAGGATGTAAATTGTGATAAAATTGAAAAAGAAGAATATAGTCTTTTTAATGTGGATATAAATAATCTTGATGATGATAATAACAAAGCATATGACGCATATAAAATCACGATGCACCTTAATGATGTGCCAATTGAATTACAGATAGACACGGGGTCAAGATTCACAATACTACCAATAAGTGTTGCAAGAAAAATTGGTATTAAAACATTAAAGAAATCGGAAACAAAACTTACGGGCTATGATGGGAGAATTATAAAGGTGTTGGGCACCATTGACATCAAGGCAAAATATGGAAACAAGACAGAGATCTTGAACATACATGTAGGCAGAGCAATAAAATACCGCTGTTAGGTAGGACATGGTTGAAAGCGTTTGGCAACATATTAGAGCAATTTGTAAACCATGTCGAAGAAAATTATGATGATGCAATACAAAAGATGATAAACGTTTGTAAAACCAAAGTTGACAAAAAGCCTATAAATCGCAGTTATGTTAAACTTTATCTTAAACAGGACGCTATACCAAAAATAATACCGCCAAGACGAGTGCCATATAAACGACATGATTTGTTAACAAAGGAGTTGCAGAAGTGGATCGATGACAAGATAATCGAGCCAGTGGACGAAGTACGCTGGGCGAGTCGGCTCACACCTGTTTATAAGAGCGATGGTACATTGAGGCTTTGCGTAGATTTCAAGAGCACAATCAATCCTGCACTGGTAGACTTCAAATACCCAATTCCAAGAATCAATGACCTTATATCAAAGCTGTCAAAAGGCAAGAAGTTTACAAAAAAAGATTTTAAGAATGCTTTCCTTCAAATACCAATTCACAAAGAATCAAGAAATCTTCTCACCATATCCACGCATAGAGGCTACTTCAGATTCACCAGACTTCCTTTCGGTTTAAAGACATCATCAGCTATCTTTCAGCAGACTATGGATAAAATTTTTGGTGATTTAAAAGGCGTTATTTTCTACATTGATGACTTATTAATTACTGGTGATGATGACGAAAAACACATGAAAAAACATAAAATTGGTTTTTGACAGAATCTCAAAATATGGACTAATACCTAATTTACGAAGAGTATATTTTTCAAGAAAGAAATACGATTTCTAGGACACGACATCAATGATAAGGGGATTCATCCGAATGGAAAAAAGATAAAGGCCATTACGGACATGCCAGTACCAACAACTAAAGAAGAACTAGCAACGTTTTTGGGCATGGCTAGTTATTACCGAAAATTTTTATGTAATTTTGCGGATTTAGCGGATCCATTATACAAGATAGTAAATAAAGAAAAATTTTTGTGGAATGACGTACATCAAAGATGTTATGATGATTTGAAGAATCTAATTAGTACACCACCATCGTTAAATTATTACAATCCAGATTTGCCGATAGGTATCGCAACGGAAGCTTCGAAAAAAGGTTTAGGTGCTGTATTATTTATTTCATATAGAAGGAAATGGTAAGGAGATGCCTATAGCATACGCATCGAGAACTTTATTGAAAGCAGAAATTAACTATACAAATATCGAGAGAGAGGCTTTAGCAATAGTATATGCAGTGAAGAAGTTTCAAGAGTACCTCATAGGTTCCAAATTCGTCATTATAACCGACCACAAGCCACTCGTTTACATATTTACAAAAGGATTAAAAGATAACACGTCAATATCGATGAGATTGCAAAAGTGGAATTTGGCTATGGGAGCTTATGATTTCACGATAGTTCACAGAGCTGGTAATCGCAATACAATACCAGACTGTTTATCAAGATTACCACAAAGAAATACTGAAGAGGATATACAAAATATAGAAAATAATGAGATTACTAGTGATTTATGGGACATACCAATAAACTTAAAAGAATAGTGAAAGAAACAAACGATGATGATGAATTAATGGAAGTAATAAATAACATCAAACATGGTGAAGATATAAAAAACAAAACATACAAGAATATGGAAATGGAGTTGAGTTTGATAAAGAATTGCCTTTTTAAAGAAAACCGAATCATAATACCAAGGAAAATGAGAAATGAGATGTTAAAAGATTTACACAAAGGGCATTTAGGCGCAGGCAAGATAAAATTATTGGCGAAAGATTATTTATGGTGGCCTGGTATAAATGCAGATTTAGATCAAGAGGTAAAAGAGTGTGAAGAATGTAACAAATGGGCAGACAATCCACACAATATACAAAATCCATGGAGAATCGCGACTAAAATTTTTGAACGAGTACATATTGACTTTGCACAGTTCGGAGATAATGATTACATGGTATTTGTGGACGCGTATAGCAAATTTCCAATAATAAAGAGAATGAAAAATATTACAACAGAATCTACTGTGAAAGAACTGATGAGAATAATAAGTCTATTTGGAATACCATATAACATCGTGACGGATAATGGCACCAATTTCACTAGTCACCTATTTAAAAAATTTTGTGAGGATCATGGAATAAAACATATTTTGACTGCTCCACATCATCAACAATCCAATGGTCAATGCGAACGTATGATTAAATCGATGAAAATGAGCTTGAAGAGAAATGTGGAGAATATCACAAAAGTTAACGCCAACATAGCTTTAGAAAAATTTTTGTTTAATTATCGAAATACTCCAAATGCGCCGACAAATATGATACCAAGCAAATTAATGTTTTCTAGAAGTATAAGGACAAAATGGGATTTGGTTAAACCTATGGAGGAAAAAGATAACGTATTAAATCGCAAAATAACAGTAACGAGAAATATCAACGTAGGAGATAAAATTTGGTATAAAACGTTCAAGGAAAACATGTGGGATAAAGGAGTAGTGATACATAAAGATGGAAATTTATCATACAAAATAGATACTGGACATAATATAATAAGAAGACATTTGGATCAAATAAAAATAAGATCGACAAGTAATGATTATACGACGAGTGAACGAGTTTTTAGAGGGGGAAGAGGTCAGGAGCAAAATCAAGATCAAAATAAAGAACAAGATCAAGTTCAAGTTCAAAGCCAGATAAGAGATCGAAATAAAAAAAGTATTCAAGAGCCAAGTCGACAATACAATTTGAGACCGAAGAAATTCATTGATTATAAATAAACTATATAAAATAAAATATAATTTTTTAGTTAAATTTGATGTTAGAACGAAAAGGTACATGGACTTGGAATAAATAAAGAACTTAGGGATTACCTCAATATACGATACGAATGATGGGTACGATGAAGGGGGAAACTAAAAGAGAAGGAAATGTTATATTGTGGAAATAATTTAAATAAAATCACTCGAGGTGATAATGAAATATTTTATGTAAAAGTAAAATCGATTTAAATGTAAAAGTAAAGATCAATTTAAAGGTAAAAAGTTAAAAATGATTTATAACGATAAATTATATTTGAAAGACATATCTGTAGGATATTGATATATTATAATTTTTTGTATATATTGTTATGTTTTTTTGTTATATGATAGTTTTTGAAATTTATATGTTATAATAAAAAAAGATAAATTAAATATTTGTGGTCAACTTAAATTATAAAATATCATCCTTATCACATATCCGAGAAATCATAGAATTCCTATAGTACATACTCGGGAAAAATATATATATATATATTAGATATTTAAAACATAAATGTTTAATTATAACGAAAAAATATTTTTTTTTGTGATTAAAATCTAAATATAGTTGCGATGCAAAATATAGATAAAATTAACAAAAAAGTTTTTAATATAAAACAAATGACTATATTTGATAAACTAGGAGGGAAATGGGAGTGTTTCGAAGAAACATTTGTAGTTCCCCTTTAGGATTTCAAATTAGACTTTTTGTTTAAGAGATAGGGACTCGTTTTTGACCCCTGTCCTTAACGAAATTTTTCTACCCAATTGATTTAAGAATTTTAGGGATTGGGGACGGGGTTTTCAAGGACGCTAAAAATTAGGGGAATAAATATAAAAGAGTTAGGGAGGAATCTATATTTATTAAACTTATTGATTTCTTGTAGTTCCAAGGGGTCGGTATTTCCGTTAGCCGGAAAGGAGGTAACACAAGAGACGTCCCAGACAAGTCTTTTGCCGCCGTGCCAAGACGTTAAAGACATGCCGTCAGGGCGCTTACCGTCAGCATTTAGGAGACCCAATGGCTCCAAACTATTGGGGAAACCGGCCGAAATCAAGGCTTTGCCGATTAACCTATTAAGGTTGTCGTGCCTCGGGAAACGGCCACTGACTTTGAGGCACGAGAAACAATGTCTAGAGAAAGGATCAACCTGTTTGTGACAGGCAGCACAGGTGTCCACAGAAGGGATAAGGCAACCAAGCCTATGGCCAATGGCAGTTTGAAACTCGTCGTCTGTGAGTAACGTTTCCTTTTTACCACTCGGAATCGCGTCTAGCCATTCATGGCCGTTAGAGTTTTTTTTTGCGTTTCTGAGCAGTTGAAGGTTAGTTAGATCAGGATACATACAAAGTTTTTCAAACGAGCATTGAAGCATAGGGACCAGGAAGCTCTTTAGATGACAGGAAATTGGCTGCTCGGAGCCTTGGGTGATTAGAGTAAACCACTCTTGTTTAGCTGAAGATAGAAGGGGATCGTCCAACTCGATAAGCGAGGAAATAGAATCGGGGAAGGATATTCGAGATGAAAGAAAACACGCAATTGCCATAAGGAAGGGGGGTGACAATCCCAGTCCACCCCGGTAAGCGGGCATAGAGGCGAGGGACCAATTGAAATCGGAAAAATTTAAGCCTAAAAGGGATTCGATAAAATGTTTAAATTTTAATTCGAAGACCTTAAGGAGAGTATTGTACTAGAAAACGGGGGAAGATTTAAATAAATGTAAGAATTTAGGTAGAAAAAGACATTTTTTGGTGAGAAAGAAGAACTGATGCTTTGGGAGATGAGGAAGATTCTTGAGTGAATTGGAAAGGGACTGGATCAAATCGTCAGAAGTTTTTTGACAAAAGGAGGTTGAAAAACCGATAGGGGAACCTAAAAGACAGTTCCTCGTGCGGAATGATTGTAAAATCTAAGGGATGAATAAAATCCTTATTGTTGAGGGAGAAAATTTCACACTTTTTCCTATTTAGGGAAAGACCAATTTTCGAAGCTCTCTATGGCCGACATAACATTGGATAAAGAACCGCCAAAAGAGCCATCGTCGAGATACCATAAATTAAGGTCTAATTGGAAATTAGACTTTAAATTTTTGATCAAATCATGAATCCCTATAGTAAAGAGCAGGGGGCCTAGAGGATCACCTTGCTGTATCCCCTCTTCGGAGGATATGGAAAATTCCCCGAATTTGAGTAACGAAGGGAATCCATAACAGGAATTAAGGAAATTCCCATATTTTGGGGAATGGTGTAAAAAAGATGGTAAGAATGCCCTCCTATGGATGGTGTTGAAGGCATTTTTGAAGTCTAACTTGCAGAAAACCTTATCGGCCTCAGTTTTATAAAAATACGCGCAACATGTGAGGCCACTTCACACCCACCTCTCACTCCAAATCCTAACTGTGAAGGAAATAAGAAGGAACTAGCCTTAGGCCGAATCCTATTTACGATAGCCTTGGCGACTAAACGACGAAAGAATGACCCTATGGCTATAGGTCTAACGCCGCCATCCGGTTTGGTCAAGCAGACAAGACGTGCGCCAAAAATAATAGGACGAATGCAAAGGGGAACTTAGCGTACGAGGATATTATTGCACAGTTCGGTTAATGCTTTCAACAAAGGGTCAATGAAGCCACTATCAGAGCATTGAATTAACTCCACAAAGAAACCAGGTCTGTAGCCGTCCAACCCACCTGTCGTCCTTTTTTTAAAGGACTTTAAGCACTTAAGTACTTCGTCACAGGTAAAGGGAATAGGGGAGGAGGCATGCGGGTGGATGTTAAAAGGGGACGCTCGTGGATGTTTTTCAAGAAGTTGTTTCAATATGGTAACGTTGATAGGTGAAATAGTCATCGGAAGACAATATTCGGGCCGCACCGCTAATATCTCCAAGATCTAATTTTTCGGAGATCAATTTGTGACGGAAGGAGTTGGGGTTTAAAGCGTAAGAAGGAGAAAATTCATCGATAATTTTTTAAGATTATTATTTTACTTAATTTATAATTTTTAGATAATATAAATATAATATTTTTATGAAATGATTTTTGATCGCTAATTTTTAATATTATATTTTATGTATTTTTTCCTGATATATCTTTTGATCGCTACTTTTTAATATTATTTTGTACGTATTTTTTTCTGATATATCTTTTGATCGCTAATTTTTAATATTATTTTTAAATATTTTTTACGTATTTTTTTCTGACATATCTTTTGATCGCTAATTTTTAATATTATTTTTAAATATATTTTAAGATTATTTTTTACGTATTTTTTTCTGATATATCTTTTGATCGCTAATTTTTAATATTATTTTTAAATATTTTTTAAGATTATTTTTTTCATACTTTTTTCTGATATATCTTTTGATCACTAATTTTTAAATATTTTTTAAGATTATTTTTTACGTATCTTTTTCTCTTTTGATCGCCAATTTTTTAGGTAAAAATATTAACATGTTATATATAAATTTCTTATCGTTATTTTTGAATTTTTTTAAATTAAATAGGTAAAAATATAAATTGTAAAGATATAAAATTAAAATTTCAGTAAAGATGTAGAAAAGTGACATTTGTCATAATCGTTATTTTGAACTATTTTGAATTTTTTTAAAATAAATAGCTAAAAATATATATTGTAAACAAGTTAAATTAAAATTTCAGTGAAGATGTACCATAGAAAAGTAACAATTGTCATAATCGTTATTTTTGAACTTTTTTGATATTTTTTTAAAGTAAATAGGTAAAAATATATATTGTAAACAAGTTAAATTAAAATTTCAGTGAAGATGTACCATAGAAAAGTGACAATTGTTATAAACGTTATTTTTGAACTTTTTTGAGTTTTTTTAAAGTAAATAGGTAAAAATATGTTTTGTAAACATGTTAAATTAATATTTCAGTTAAAGTGTACTATAGAAAAGTGACAATTGTCATAATCGATATTTTTGAACTTTTTTGAGTTTTTTTAAAGTAAATAGGTAAAAATATGTTTTGTAAACATGTTAAATTAATATTTCAGTGAAAGTGTACTATAGAAAAGTGGCAATTGTCATAATCGTTATTTTTGAACTTTTTTTAAAGTAAATAGGTAAAAATATGTTTTGTAAAAATGCTAAATTAATATTTCAGTGAAAGTGTACTATAGAAAAGTGGCAATTGTCATAATCGTTATTTTTGAACTTTTTTGAGGGAATTTTGTTTATAACTATATGACAATTGTCACTTTTCTATGTTTAATTTAAGTTGTTTACAATATATATTATTACCAATTACTTTAAAAAAATTCAAAAATAACGATTATGATAATTGTCACTTTTCTATGGTACATCTTCATTGGAATTTTAATTTATCTTGTTTACAATATATATTTTTACCTATTTACTTCAAAAAAGTTCAATAACGATTATGACAATTGTCACTTTTCTATGATACATCTTCACTGAAATTTTAATTTAACTTGTTTACAATGCTATTTATTTGAAAAAAACTCAAAAATAACAATTATGACAATTGTCACTTTTCTATGGTACATGCTATTTATTTTAAAAAAATTCAGAAAAGTTTAAAAATAACGATTATGACAATTGTCACTTTTCTTTGGTACATCTTCACTGAAATTTTAATTTAACTTTACAATATATATTTTTACCAATTTACTTTAAAAAAACTCAAAAAAGTTCAAAAATAACGATTATGACAATTGTCACTTTTCTATGGTACATCTTAACTGAAATTTTAATATAACATGTTTACAAAACATAATTTTCAGAAAAAAAAGTACTATTTTAAAAATCCTTTAAAAAAAATATATATTTAAAAATATTTACGATCAAAAGATGTACCAGAAAAAAAGTACGTAAAAAATTAAAATATTTACGATCAAAGATGTATCAGATAATAAGTACCTAAAAAATTAATATTTATTTTTAAAACAATTATCAATCAAAAATATTAAAAATAATAATATAACAAATTAAAAAAAATTAATCAAATATATATATTAAAAATCCTTTAATAAAAATATATTCAAAAATATTTACGATCAAAAGATGTAGAAAAAAAGTACGTAAATAAAATATATAAAAAATATTGACAATCTTAAAAATATTACTTAAAAATATATTTAATAAAATCTTTAACTTATAAAAATAATAAATTTATAAATAATAAATTCCTCTCAAATAAATATTAAATTAATATCAATTAAATAATAAATTAATCTCTCAAATAAATAATAAATTTATAAAATAAAATACATTGCCTAAAAAAACCAGGCAATGTACACTTTGCCTGATTATTTAGGCAATGTACACATTGCATAAATAACTAATTCACCCTGCCTACCACCGTAACACATTGCCTAAAAAAATCAGGCAATGTGTACATTGCCGAAAATAACACATTGACTCTAACATATATATCATTGGTTGTGCTTTGATTGAATAGCCATAGCATTTCAAAAAAGTGTTACATAGAAGAAAAAAATCGAAAGACGCAAAAATATGAATCGGGTTTTGATGTAATTAATTTTCAATTAGGCTTCAAAATTCGATATCAAAGCACACTCTTACTAATAATATTAGCTAAAAAAATTCAATAAAATTTCATTTGTGATCTAATCTTTATTCTAAAAAAAATGTAATTATGTACAAGAGTTAATTGTGTAATAAAAAGTTATATGATTTATAATAAAAATCGGGAATATGTATGTAATCCCATTATATATAATGTATTGGTATGTATTTAAAATCAATTCATATTTGTACATATATCTCTAAAAAATTGTTAATTTTTGATTATGTATTTTTTTTGTATAATTTCTTTTAATATAGTAATATATATGTAAAAAAAAGATGTCACAAAAATTAATATTAAAATTATAAAGGCTAAATCCTATATCACATGGTTTTTTTTAAATATTTATTAGCACCTTTTAATGGGCTTTTTGAGACTAATTTTAATCTGAGACTAATTTTAATCGAGTTTGAATAAATATTTATACGATTAAATATCTAACAGAAAAATAAGATTAGCAAGTGATTAAATTATTTACAAAGGATATATAATAATAATAAAAAACAAATGTCTAAAAAATATGTAATATATTAATGTAAAAAAATATATAATAAAATTCGAGATTGATTTTTAAAAAAAATATTCTTATAATTCATTTTCATGCATATTGTATACAAGTACATTTCGCAGAATAGGAAACGGGCGGAGGTGGATGATTATGATTAACGATAGGTATAAAATAGAATGGTTGCTGATAGTATTGCGAAATTGGTTGAAATGAACAAAAAATGGGCTGAATATAATGTTGAGCACTAGATGGCGGTAAATAAACCGGGGGAATATTTGAAAAATTCTTGGGCCTATAATATTTATATTTAAAATTATCTTTGATGTTGGTCGAATCGTGAAGAAGATTATAGCTGTAAACGTTGTAATAAACCTGGTAAAAAAACTTTTCGATCAACTTGAGTATTTCACGCCTCTCGTGCCCCATCAAACACACCGTACTATGGTCCACTACGCGGTAGAGCGTGAGCAAATAATTGTACAACGAATGTGGGTCCTTGAGAAAATGGTTATGCAGGTACGAATCGAGTTTGTCCTTCTGCTTGCGGAGGTCACCAAAATCGATGAAAAATCGAGAACACATGTATTTTTCGAGGGATTTAATATCATCGTAGTCCTCGGGCTCGTAACCCTGAACTAACAGGTGACAGTATTTGAGCAGGCCCCCGCCGCGAATTTCCTCGGGCCTGACGGTTGCAATCAGTTTTTGGCGTAAATGGCGTTCGGATCGGTCGAAATCGCCGTACATGCTCTCGCACACAATGTCTAGGGGCGGTTGGTGAGTTGGAATAGCTTTTTCCTGGCGGTAATTTTTGAGGAGGGGGTCCAAAATGATTTGGAATGAATCGACGCTGAATTCGAACTGCCTCTTCATGCTACTGACGAATTTGAACTCTAAATTCCGCCCGTCCCTATTGTTGAGCGCTATTAGGCTCCACAGGTCTCCGCCCGAGCTCACCTTGACCATCTTATGCACGTACATCTCCTGCAGAAGCGAACGATTAATGTTGTTACTATTAATTGATATCTTCTGGCCTATTGGTTGCTTACTATCTGGGCAATCGTCACTATTATCACTATTATTACCACTATCATAGTCGTTGGTGTTGCTACTTTCCAGGGCCGGACTGTGAGAGGATTCGCAATAAAGTGCGAACAGGGTTTCCAACACGACGTTCTTGATACGATCCATATCTTTGGCTCCTTGTAGACGCACGAGGTATATCAAATCCAAGTCGTTGTAGGACGGGTTTTTATGGCTACCAATATTTGAGCGCTTCTCCAAATTACTGGACTTATTATCAAGATGCCTATTTGTTTCGTGGGCTATGACGTGACAGGCGGCTCCGCCATTGACCCTAACATCAGTTACGTCGACCCCTACGTCGGAAAGTCGCTTGTGAACACGTTCCACGGCATTCCCGAGCCGAACACTAAGCGTAGGAAATAATTCGGCTCCTGGACCGTGTGGATGGATATGAACCTGAGAATTTAATAGATCAATTAAGCGATCGTATTGGGGTGGGGTCAGAATGCGCAGATTACTGGATAGTTTTGTATCTTCAATGCATTTCGTCATAGTAAACTATTATTACGTTAGAATTTCAATGTGAGAATTATTTTATTAAAAAGGTTGCAAAAAAATGAATGAGTGAATGATGGTTTGTATTTGCGTTGATTGAATATTTAATACTGTCCGTCTGTGGGATTAAAATAGAAAAAACAAAATATTTTAAAATGCCCAATTATTTTTATGAGTAAACGAGAATAAACAAAATAATGGTCAATATTCATAAACATATCTTAAAATAGCATAACATTAGAAGAGAGAAAAAAAATTAAAATGCAAGTTGTTTTTTTTTTCTTTCAAGAAAATATAAATTTAATACAAAAAAATAAACAAAATATACGTTGTTTAAATAAAAAAAAATTATATTATCGATATTCATTTCAAAAGAAAAAAACCAGGCTTAAATTTTTGGAAATAAATTTTACGTAAAGTTTTAAAGACGTCACTGAGTTTAAAAAAAAGAAAATTATTTGAATCCAAAAAATTCCCCCAATCTTATAAAAATGAATGACGTCACTAACTAAGAAAATACAAATCTTTAGATTTCAAACCCCGCCACCTCCCTCCCGAACCTCGGTGGAAAATCTAGTGAAGCCCTTGATCAAATATCGAAAAAGTAGTAGAAGGAATGCGAGATCTTTGTGAGATACAATTTATTTTTCTTTCAAATTTTGGTTTAAAAAAATTTAAGAACAGCATTAAGATTTCAAATACCTCCATCGGATCAGCAGCTGTAACTAATCCGCTAGATAAGATGTGTATGTGAGACCCGGGACACAAAAACCCATATATTTTAAGGTTTCAAGAATGATGTAATATTTTATATTTTGTAACGATCATTAGATATTTTTTTTAGGAAATTAATTAATTTTCAAGTTTATTTAGAATGTATTTAAAAATAATTGAACACTTAATTTTTATTTAGTAGGTACTTTAAATTTTGGGCCAGTTATAAATAAATTTTGGCTTAAAAAAACTTTTTAATATTTTTTTTAAGTAAAGAGACATTTTAAAATAATTCTTTAAATATTTTAAAATGAAATTATGTTCAAAATAATTAAAAAATCGATAATATTTGTTGCGATGGTTATCTTATTTTTTTAAAAAATTTAATTTTTTTTTGAAGAAGTTAAGGTCAATGTTATGTAGGTGTAAATTTTTAAAGGGTCGCGCAAAATATAAAATTGGACGTTTTTGGTAATTTCTACTGACGGCAGCAATTTATTTCTTAAAAAAATTTCTATAATTTTTTAAACTCTATATATTCCCCCCCATACTCCCCTTTAACGAGCTTTCGGCCAGTTTTGCCTGGGACTGGGCTTCTGCTATAATTAATTATAATATATATACATGTATTCACTAATCACAAGACTATCTAATTCAAATAGTTTACCTTTCATAACCAATAAAATAACGATGAATCATGTCATTTTTTAGTGCTTCAATCCGTATAGTAGCCGAATTTAAGGAAAAAAGTTATAAACAAAAAAAAAAATTTGTGCCAACTTCACGCATAAGAGTTGATTGAAAGCACTAACGATGAAACTTATATCATTCTTTAGTGCTTAGTTAGTAGAGGTTAGTGCTTCAATCACTTTTGTAGCCGAATTTAAGAATAAAAAATTATTGGCGAAAAAAACAAAAATAAACAAATATTGGCGATATGCCAAAACAAAAACTAGAGTAGTACTAAACATCCGGTTTTCGCCATTATTTAGGGATTAATTAATGTATTTAAATTCCGTTATTAATTTAGTTAACCGCCATATGGAAAAAAGTTATAAGCTAAATAAAAATTATGACGTCACGATTTAAGCGTGAAGTTGGCCGAACTTTTGGAAGCACTAACGATGAAACTTATATCATTCTTTAGTGCTTCGTTAGTATAGGTTAGTGCTTCAATCACTTTTGTAGCCGAATTTAAGAATAAAAAGTTATTTGCGAAAAAAAAACAAATAATGGCGACGTGCCTAAACAAAAACCATAGTAGTAGTTAACATTCGGTTTTCGCCATTATTTAGAGCTCAATTAGTAAATTTGAATTCCGTAATAAATTTGGTTAACCGTTGTATGAAAAAATCGTAATGAACTAAAGAAATATTTAGAGCTAGGCCAGAAAATTATGAAAGATATTTATATCATTCTTTAGGGTTTCCTTAGTAGAGGTTAGTGCTTCAATTACTTTTGTAGCCGAATTTAAGAATAAAGTTATTTGAGAAAAAAACAAAAATAAACAAATGATGGCGACGTGCCAAAACAAAAACTATAGTAGTAGTTAACATCCGGTTTTCGCCATTATTTAGAGCTCAATTAATAAATTTGAATTCCGTAATTATTGGTTAACCGTCTTTATAAAAACTTATAATAGGCTAAGGATTATAAAAATATATAAAATATAAATAGATGCTGGAGAAAAAATGTAGTTGCTACAATAAAATAATAAAAATTATATAATTATTACACAAGAATGGGGTTCAATGGACCCATTTAGGCAGTAGTGGAAATACTATTTTGTGACTTGGTTATATTCATGTATTTTGGGAACCTTAATATATATAAGGTTCTGAAACATTATATTACTCTAATATGGCAGACGATCTTCGGAAACAATTGATAGGCTAAGTGCAAAAAGACAATATGCATTTTTAAATTACTTGGGGTTTTGAATCAAACTAATTAGGGTTCAAATTTTACAAAATAAGTACAAAATAATGGTAAAAATAAAATGTTTGTCGCTGATATATTTTTGTTTATTTTGTTAATAACTTTTTTATTTTAATTAAACTGATTGAAGCACTAACCTCTACTAAGGAAGCTCTAAAGAAGGATATAAATTTAATCATTAGTGCTTTAAAATTGCTGGCCATAATTTGACCTCTAAACATTTCTTTAGCGTATTACAATTTTTATTAAAGACGGTTAACCAAATTAATTACGGAATTCAAATTTACTAATTGAGCTCTAAATAATGGCGAAAACCGAATGTTAACTACTACTATAATTTTTGTTATTTTTGTTTTTTTTTGCAAATAACTTTTTATTCTTAAATTCGGCTACAAAAGTAATTGAAACACTAACCTCTACCAAGGAAACCCTAAAGAATGATATAAATTTCATCGTTAGTGCTTTCATAATTTTCTGGCCTAAATTTGACCTCTAAATATTTCTTTAGCCCATTACGATTTTTTCATACGACGGTTAACCAATTAATTACGGAATTCAAATTTACTAATTGAGCTCTAAATAATGGCGAAAACCGAATGTTAACTACTACTATGGTTTTTGTTTAGGCACGTCGCCATTATTTGTTTTTTTTTCGCAAATAACTTTTTATTCTTAAATTCGGCTACAAAAGTGATTGAAGCACTAACCTCTACTAACGAAGCACTAAAGAATGATATAAGTTTCATCGTTAGTGCTTCCAAAAGTTCGGCCAACTTCACGCTTAAATCGTGACGTCATAATTTTTATTTAGCTTATAACTTTTTTTCCATATGGCGGTTAACTAAATTAATAACGGAATTTAAATACATTAATTAATCACTAAATAATGGCAAAAACGGGATGTTTAGTACTACTCTAGTTTTTGTTTTGGCATGTCGCCAATATTTGTTTTTTTTGTTTTTTTCGCCAATAACTTTTTATTCGGCTACAAAAGTGATTGAAGCACTAACCTCTACTAAATAAGCACTAAAGAATGATATAAGTTTCATCATTAGTGCTACCAAAAGTTCATAAATCGCGACGTCATAATTTTTATTTAGCTAATAATTTTTTTCCCATATGGCGGTTAACCAAATTAATAACGGAATTTAAATACATTAATTAAGCATTAAATAATGGCGAAAACCTAATGTTTAGTACTACTATAGTTTTTGTTTTGGCACGTCGCCAATGTTTGTTTATTTTTGTTTTTTTCGCAAATAACTTTTTATTCTTAAATTCGGCTACAAAAGTGAATGCACTAACCTCTACTAACTAAGCACTAAAGAATGATATAAGTTTCATCGTTAGTGCTTTCAATCAACTTTTAAGCGTGAAGTTGGCACAAATTTTTATTTTTGCTTATAACTTTTTTTCCTTAAATTTGGCTACTATACGGATTGAAGCACTAATAAATTACATATGATTCATCGTTAGTGCTTCCAAATCTTCGGCCAACTTCACGGAGCTCAAGTCAAACAATTTTATAAGAAAGTTGTTACAAATATATGAAAATGTTTTATAATAAATCAACACATTGTCATATAATCTTTATTTTTCATCATTTTGTTTTGCTTAAAGCGAAAGGAAGGAAATTTAATATAATGATTTAATGCCACAAGAAAAATCATATTTATATTTTAAACCATAAACTTTCGTAAGAAAGCTATTTAAATAAAATATTAAACTTTTCATTTTTTTAGATTTTCTTATAAAATTTACAAAAATATTTTTGTTTAGATTTTGATTTCTATTGATATGTAGGATTTTAATAATAATAATTCAATATAATTAAAAATAACTAATTATAAATAGATTTATATACCATTTTCATATAATATAATCTTTATTTTACATCATTTTTTTTTGCAGCGAAAGGAAGGAAATTAAAATAATATTATGATGCCACAAGAAAAATAATACCTTATACCATAAACTTTCGTAAGAAAAATATTAAAATAAAATACCAATTGGGTGCTAATAGTGTTGTTAAAAGACTCGATTTTAAAAAAGGCTTATCCAGTTATTTAGTCAAAAAAATTAAAGCTCAGAGATTTAGTTTCCAAGCCATTATATATGAGCAAAATCTCTAGGCTTTAATATTTGTGGCTAATATGGGTGAGCCGTTTTTAAAACTCAAGCTTATTAAGAAAGTGCTAATCCATTTAAAAAAATTGTGGCTTCACATCCCAAGCACATAGTTAACGACGCCCCTGATCTGTACACAATTTAGCTTATTGGATATTTAAGGTAGTGTTGTTATATGGCTCGTTTTGAGCCGAATTTTAAAAACGGCTAACTCAATATTTCGTCCAGAAAAATATTACTTAAGCCTCAAGATTTTGCTCATAGAAGGAACAAAGGTCTAGGCATATATTATCGAAATCTCGAGACTTATACAATATTTTTCTGGCTAATTATGACAGT